GTTGAACGTTTCATCATAAATGAAAAATTTCAAACGGTAATTCCAACAGTATCATCATTTATTTAATTAAATATTAGAAGTATAAAACAATAATATATAGGTATTCTTAAGTGAACGATCAGATAAAAATATAGCAGCCAGTTGAATTTTCATCATAAATGAAAAATTTCAAACGGTAATTCCAACAGTATCATCATTTATTTAGTTTAATATTAGAAGTATAAAACAATAATACATAGATATTCTTAAATGAACGATCAGATAAAAATATAGCAGCCAGTTGAATGTTTCATCACAAATGAAAAATTTCAAACGGTAATTCCAACAGTATCATCATTTATTTAATAATATTGAATGTAAAATATACTTATATTTAAGTTTTCGTAAGTGAAGGGTACTGAGAAAACCAACCAAGCCATTTTGTTTGAATAGATATGGGTATCATACAATTATTTATATTGTATATTTATGTGACCTAATAAACGAAAAACCAAGGTAAGTCTAAAAAAAAAAAATGGTCAACTGATAATGGGAAATACACAGATGAGTATTGAATTAACTAAATTTCAAAAGTTTAACATTCAACTTTTTTAAAAAAAATTACTTTAATGGTTTTTTCCCGTGTCTTTCAAGTGAAATAATTAAATAAAAATATAGCAGCCAGATGAATATTTTATCATAACTCAAAATTTTAAAATCAATTAAAATGAAAATAATGCAGCTAGTTGTAGTAACGGTAATTTTTGTTTGGTCCGTCAAGTATTATTCTCTATAGGACATTTCTAAAGGAAGGTCAGTACTTCCAGACCCTTCAGTGACCATTATATATAGATTTTAACATGTATAAATAAACATTATTGTAAAACCAATGTATTTCTCTCTCTACTCAGAATCTTAAATTCAAAACTTATAAAGCACATGTGCTTTTGTATAAGTGTCAACAGAAAAATAGTCATTGAATAGTAAACATTTTGTTAAAAAAAATATTTTTATATAATTATTTCCAGATTTACTAATTGAGAATACTGTAGATGGATTTAGTTTTTACCATTATTAAATTTCAAATGGTAATTCCGATAGTATTATCATTATGCATTATAAAATAAATTATTATTCTATAGTTTTTATTTAAATTGTTAAGTTATATTATGTATATATAAGAATATAACATAAAAATACCATTGTACTAAAAATAGCCCTAAAAAATTATTTCTAATATTTTTTATTTATTAATGTCAACTGCATAGTAATATTATGAAACTAGTGTTATTAATGTGAATATTTTAAATTTTAATTGTTTTATAATTAAGGTACACTAGGGAAGACTAAGTTTGATATTTGATATTGTAACAAAGTGTCCACATGTAGACCATAACATATAAAGGAACCAAACTATGTGCAATTTTTTTAAATTACTAAGCACAAAGAACAATGCCTTATGTAAGTTGTAGATTTTACCATTAAGATTACAACTGTAGCATACTGCATTTCATTTGGGATTTAAATGATCTAATCTGGCCTTGATATTTATTTTTATAATAATAATGTTTATTGTTGAATTGTCTGGTTGGGGATAGAACATATAGTAAACTCTTAAGAATGTCTACAAATATTATGTATATACAAATTATTTTTTACCACAATATATAAATAATGTTTCATTAAAAACTAAACTTTACTAAAAAGAACATACAATGGTTTTGAAAATTAAAGAAAGAACTTACAATTTTAACATAAATTCAAAAAATATTTAATGAAAAATATAGAACTTATGATTTTATAAATTGTTAAACCAACATAAACTTATAGCTAATTAAACAAAAAGTATATTTAAAATACATAAAACTATATTCACTATATTGGATTTAATTGTATTATCTATATCATTAAGTTTCCGATAATCCTGAATTACACTTCAGACATTTAAGAACACTCAGTATTTTAATGCAATATAGGTATATTAAATTTACAAGTTGTAGTATGGCCAATATAAATTTATCTGTTTTATTATTTTATTTAATAACACCAAATATCATCATATATAATATAATGGAAGGAATTGCAATAGAATCAACATCAAAAATATTGTATATAGAATAATATTTGGAATTTTAATTGATTTATGAAACACAACAGTTAATTAATAAAAGAGATATCCTGCATTTAAATAAGTACTTACTAAATTTAATACATTTTGTGAAACATATAGGTAAATTAATTAAGAATTTATAAATGCTAAATAATAAGTATGATAAATATTAAATAATTTTATTATAAAGTTTTGTGAATTTGTAATTTTTACGTTATTCAATAAATGTTTTGTATTAGAAGTTAAATTACAGACAAGATCAGTATTAAATAATAAACAATGTTAAGAGTAAATTTTTTTAGATTGTAGTTAAAGATAAAACATATTAAAAAATATAGAAAGTGTGTTTAAAATGTAAGTATTAATTGACAAATAAAATGTATACATAATAAAATTAAAATAAATTTTTACAATAAAAAAAAAAAAAATAGTGAAGGTATTAAATATAATTTTAAATAAGTATTTAAATTAAGTACAGAGCAGATTATACTTTGTTTAACATAAAGTTTAATACACACCGAGATGATTCAGGAATAACATTTTTATTTTGAACAACTTTTTTTAGAACTTCTAAACATCTATCAACATCTTTTCGTAATTTGAAACCTTTATCTTCACTTTTAATTAATCCATGTTTAACTAATAAAACATTTGTCAATTCAATAAATTTTAGAGTTTTTGTAGCATTGGAGTAAGCAGTTTTATAGAACTCTAAACATTTATCTAATGTAACATTATCATCTGAATTGTGGTAATGAACAGCAATATCCATTAATTGATCAACTAACACTTCACAATTAATATTTTCGACAGTTTCTTTTGTTGGCTTAACTTCACCAATAACCATATTTTTAAGAAGATCAGCAGAATTATCAGTGTTAAATGTTGAATTATCATTTTCTTCATCTGTTGAACTTTCAGCAGCTTCTTCATTATCGTCTTCATCGGAACTGCATTCACCTTCATCGCCACTAAATGATCCAAGTGTTTTATCTTTATTAGATCCTTTAAGGACATTTGATATAACTTCAATGGTTTCTTCACCAAATCTATTGCCATTAATATTGTATTCTTTCAAATTGATTTTATTGCATATAGATTCCGTTAATTTTAATCCACTCTCACTATTAATTTCATTATAACTAGCATCTAAAATTTCAAGAGATCTGTGAATATTCAATGCTTCTGCAATTGCCAAAGCACCTTTTGATTTTATCAAACAATCTGCAATATTCAAACGTTTAAGATTTTTTAATTTTGGAAGAACTTTAGCTAATGCTTCTGCTCCAAGTGGTGTCAATAAATTATCTTGAACATCTAAAACTTTTAAATTTGGATTTTCTAATAAGCTACTAGTTAGTGCTAATATACCTTTACAATAAATTCCATTCTGCGGGATTGTAATTTCTTCCATACTTTTAACAAGACTAAAGAATTGGGATAAAGCAATAATACCCTCATTTTCTAATCGGTTTCTACCAGCTACAAGTACTTTAAGTTTAAATGGAGTACCAGCCTTTAAACTAGCATTGTAATTATCAATGAGTGCTTTGGCCAACATTTTTGCTCCTCCAATTCCCAATCCATTGTTCATTAAACGCAAAGTTTGTAGTTCATAACATACAGGTGAATTTAAAAGTTTAACCAATCCTTCCATACCAATTGGACCAAAAGCATTGTTACTTAAATCAAGTTCAGATAAACGCACATTTGCTGTTAATAAGCCTGCCGATAGATGTTCTAAAACTATTGGAATTTCAGACTTGAGACGCCCCGTAAACATGTCTTGCCACAATGCACGTTTAAGGAGAGATCCATGTTTAGCAAGAGCATTGCCAATCTCTTTTGCAGCTTCAATTCCTAATGTGTTTCCCTGTAGATTGAAATATATCAAGCATGGACATTTTTCAATTGCTGAAACTATAGATTTGGCGTCTTCAACAGAATTGAGTGAAAGAGATTGATCAGCAAAACTTAAACCGTTGTCTTCCATCTTTTAATCAGTTTTGAATGTGTAACAAATGTATTTTTTGCCAAAAGAATTTTGATTGTAGTAGTTTTTAAATAATCTGAAACGAACCAATGTCCTAAGTTGGTCGTTTGTAAGTAAAAAAAAAAAAATATATATATATATATATAAGCTATCAACCTAAGATTTTATTGAATGTTTAAATGTGATAACAATAGATAATTAAAATAATTATTTACTCATAAACCACTACATAAAAAAGAAAAATGCAGGTACAAGCGGAAGATAAGAAAAGATTTAATATTCAACCTTCCTAACTATTCTTAAAAAAAAAACAAATGGTCATTATATGACCTAAAATGAAAAATATTTTTAGAGAGAATTAAGTATGTAGATAGCAAACTCGGACACATTGCCATCTTAAAATAAGGACACTTTGCTATAAAAAAAAAAAAACCACACGCAGACTATTGTTTTCAATTTCTATACGATCTGCCATGTTGGTAGGTACTGGCCATAGAAAAGAAATGTTTATACTGATGAACAATTGATTAAAGAACAATAATCGAATATACCTATAATTAACTTAATGTTATGGAATTCCAGATTACAGCCTGGTTATGTCGACTAACGAATATTTCCAAAACTAAATGGTATAATCTTGTTATCTTGACTACTGAAATTTGTATAAATAAAAAAAAGTTAACGATCATATAGTTAATTACATTTATTAGGTATTTAAAAAAAAAATTAAACAATTTTAAATAAAAATAAAAAATTCTTTGTCAAATTTCTTAATAATTATTTTTTTGAATAAAGTATGTAATAACCATAAAAAAAAATTCAGTTAGGTATGAAACCAAAAGATGGCGAACTGTTCCACTTAGTTTATTTTTTCATTACTGTATCATTTCCCAAATGTGTTTAGTTATTCTAGGTTGTCTGAGAAATATTTTAGAAGTCAGGATAACCAGGAAATCGTATTCACATTTATTATTATTGTAATAATAAAATGCATTTATTAATATAATTACCAAAATTTGTATTAAAATGTATTTATTGCAATTAAAATTTAACAATTAGTATTGAATTGTAACCTATTGAGACTATAATGATTTTCTAGATCAACAGACAATTGTTATATTTATGGGTAGTGAAATTAATTTCAAACTATATTTACATAATAAACACAATAGTCATACACACTGACATACCTATAGATTATACATATATCATTTTTAAATTTTTTTTTTTTAATGGTGAAATGGTCTTATGTTAAAATAGAGATAGCAAAATGGTGACTTGTCCTATATAAGGAAGATAAATATAAGCTAATCAATTTTCTACCATGAATTATATTTATATTATAAAAAATAATAAATAGTGTCTTAACATTTTAAACACATTTCATAATTGATGAATGTTGAAAGTTACTGTTACTGTTTCCGATGTGAATTTGACCAATTTTCATTGAATATATTAAATTAGTAATCAATAACATATACATACTTAGTATATTATTTAATAATTCATTTACAACTTAAAATGAATATATTTTAATTAGTAAGTTATAAAGCGACAGCATAGAATTTGGTAACCAAATGATTAATACCTATTTTATTCAATTTATGACAATATAATAATAGTAATAATATAATTTTTGTAAGTAGATACACAGTTAAGGGGCATAAAATCTTTAACAACTATGTACCTACCCTAAAAATTATTACAGTATGGGGTAAGTAAGGAGTTAATGGCACAAGAACAAATAAATATATTTTTTTAAATTTTAAAAAATATTACCAAATAGCATAATTTTAGCTTGGTATTTTATACTTGATGTATAATAAAAATACAATACATTTTTCTAGATAGTCAAAATCTAAATATAGTGCAATACCTAGTTATAGTGACCATACATTTAAAAAAAAACAAAAAACACTTATACAAATCATGTATTCAATTTTAAATAACCAATTTAAAAATCCAACACAAGTATTTAAATATAATAACAATAACCTAGGTTGGGTAACAACTTTTCTGGAAATATATTAATGTACCACACATTGTTCATTCTGGAAAGTTCTAAGGCAATATTCCACTAACAATGTATTCAGTATACAATCTGTCAATTATAACTGTAATTTAATTATTTTGACACTAAACTTTAATGCTAACTAACAGTTACTTATTATAATAATATAAATATTATTTTTAAAAAATAAAAAAAAAGGAAGAAGTATCTTGATTGGTTTGATGATAAATTAATTTATAAAGATAATCTTATTTTTAAGCAACTATAATAAATTACAAAAATCTAGATAAATATGCACGTTACAAGTTTCTGGTTACAACAATAAATAAAAACAGAACTAAATGCCAGTGGAATACTGGCTTTACTATGGCTATATAAAATAAAAAGGTAGGTATTATATTATAGTGCCAATGTTATAACTAAAAATATTTTATTTTACAAATTACTAAATAAATCTTACTACAAATTATTAAAAACATGAGAATGATGATTAAATAATTCAAAAAACTATAAATATTTTTGTATTATGTTCATTTAAGCATTTTTTAAAAATTCCTTTTATTATAATTGTTTTATGAACATAAATAGGTACCTATGCTTAGTTAATATAAAAACGCAGCGAACGACAATTGGTCAAAACTAGCACAGCCAACTAACAGCGACCAATTGTAGAGTGAATACTCAGCCAAGGAGGCAGGACGTCGTTATGCAATACATTTGGATGCGTTGAGCGGTACACTCTTATATAGAACGGACAACAAATTAAGATTATACCTAATACCATAATCACAGACTGTGACTTTGATCTTAGGCACAGTACACATGTTGGTGAAAAATAATTTTTCATTTAATACATTATTGCAACTATAATAATTTGTATATTAATCTCTATAAGGAAACTAAATTAATTGTGCTACCTATCTATATGGCTGTACCTACCTATTTATTGATTTTAGAAAATAAAATAGATAAATTATCTTATAAGATAGGAATAAAAATTTACTAGAGTAAAAATTAGAACCTTTCTATGAAAATAAGTGTGTATGATCACTATAACTAAATAAAAAAACGCCATGTAAATAATGTCGAATTTTTAGTGAATAATGAAAGCATGAATACACACATTAATAAATGATCTATGATTGAAATCTGGCTGCTTATGGTTTAAAAAAAAAAATACCAAATACATTTATTTCGGTGAGACCTGTCTAATCAACATCCCACTGTTGGTTCAAATGTCATAAGTTCCTCAAAGGCATAAATGTCTCATTACATTTTGCCAAAATAGACCCCACAATAGTAATAAGTTGTTAAGGTATATGTTGGTATAAAAGTTTACTTCGGGAACTGGAGACAAATTTTAACCGATCACTGGTGCTGTTTGGCGCAGGATCAAAAAAAACTTAAAATTATTTTCGAAAAAACAACACAAGATTTCTATTCATACATAGCAATCAAAAACAATCAAGTTTGCAAGTCAGAATTTAGATTTTCAATATTTAAAATGTTTTATTATTTTTGGGATTAAAAAGAAATTCTGACTAAAGAACGTTGACAAAGTAAAGAAGGGGAAGGGAAACAAAGGGATAGCTTTTCGCTATTTTGGCTTTATTTTTTTTAAACTCAAAAGCCAGACTTCAGACTTAATTTAATTACTTACAAAATTGTGTAATTCAATAAATATAACAAAGATAGATTTAGATAATGTATCAATAAGTAAAAACTTATACAAGTGCATACAAATTAAAAGCGGCAAAAAGACAGCAACAGTAAAATCTTAACCTCAATTTAGTAAGTAATAAAGAAATTATTAAAAAAATGCATAATCAAAGAAAATTCATAATACCTATAAAACAATTATATGAAGCATTACATAATATCAATTAAAGACCAGTTTTATAAATTAATAAAATAAATCACCATGATGATACGTTAACAAGAGGGGAGAAAACGTGGTGGCTTTTTATACCGACATGAAGACGGGGGGGAAAGTGTAATTTAGATCGGATATTTTGTATGAAACTAAAAAATAAATCATTCGAGATAAAACGATTCAAAGAATATCAGTGTTACGATTAAAAATGAAATATAAAGAAATGTCAACATAGGAGGTATTCTAAACTACAAATGCTATATTTCCATACATTTTCGAATGACCTAACAAACGTTCAATTAAAAATCTTAAGGTTCGATAAGTATTAAATCCATTTTTATAATGCTTACCTTTAATGAATAATTCAACCGTTGGAAATCACCTAGGCTGGAATGTTGGCTCGAAAATCAACAGCGTTGTCAAAAAGTTTAAAACACTTTACCGGTACCGGATGATTAAAATGAATATGTAATGTGAAATACAAGCTTCGTGAAAAAATTGAGAACCTTCTAGAATATGTTACGAGTGAAATTATTGTAATTTATTGGGTGGGGGGAGGGAACGGGGATTTGGGTTTGGTGTCAGCATAACCACCCATACAATAATTACTATTCACGTACAATTACAATAAATCGTAGAACAATAGGAAAACTAGACCATTTGTGATATTTTATAATTTTTTAAAAAAAAATGTTGTATTATAATATTGAAGTTTTTTAACTAAACAACAATGAACTACTCAGATGTAAATAATTCGAAAAATTTGGAGTAGAACAGGGTAAACTATAGTAGACCGTAGATGCTTTATTATTCTGGATGTTGGCTACACTATAGTTTACCCGGATGTGATACGGCGGTGAGCGCAAGGTGGTGCAATAACAATCTATAGAAAATAAATAATTCAAAGAAGGCATGTGCGTTCAGTCCATAAAGTAATTTGGCATAGCCTATTGCAATCTACCACAATTATTATCAACCAGGTACCCGATCGTATCATGTATAAAATAATGTTATCATTGTATCATGGTTAATACCTATCATACACACTTAGCAACAGCGGCAAGTTTGGCATTCAAATTTTTTTTATGCCAGAATGCATTTCAGCACGTCCAGCCA